ATGGTTGAAGGTTTAGAGTTGAAATTGTTTTTATGGGAGTTGAAACTTTTTTATACAAGTGAAAACAAGTTAATTAAATATAATTTTTGCTGGCCTTTAATCCAATTTAAATTGAAAATCGAAAAAGTAATTGATTCCAACATCGTAAAAATTGATTTGGACCTTATTATTGTCAATACAAACATTTTTCTAAACAAAATTTTTTTTGTTAAATTTGAAAATGAGAAATAAATGATTTTGACAGATTTTAACATATTAAAATTATTATAAGAATCGTTAAAATTAGTATTATTTTTTTAAAAATTTAAGAAGTATTTTTTGTTTTTCCGTTTACCAAACATGTTCTTTGTCATAATAAGAAAACATTTTATTAGCTTGTGCCGCATAGAATTTTAAGAATAAGTTATATTATTCATGATTTGTGAATTCTTTTTTTCTTTTTTTGACAGAGATTTGTGAGTTCATTGTGCTTGTGTGATGACAATTTGATAATTAGAAAGGGAAGCTGTTGTTGTTGTTATTACATAAAACCTAAGCAAGTTATTTTTTCTGATATTTTATAAAATTTTCAAAACGTATAAATCTTTTAATATTACCTCCTATCTTTAATATAAAAGATTATTTGATTTTTATTTTGATCTTAATCTCTTATATTTATCTCTTTTTTAAGGTAATCTTTGTAATACTATTAGTTCTAATAAATATATTTGATTAGTAAGAATATTTTAAGAAATATAACACATGTTTATTACAAATAACTAATTTAATTAATTTTTTTAATTTATTTAAATTAGTCAACTAGATTTTATATCTTATATTAAGCATGTGAAAAAAGAAATTGAAGACGAAGTGGAGAGAAGGGACTTCCAAGAAAAAAGAAATGGTGAGGAGCTAAACAACAACTATAATGGCTGCAGTTGTGAAAGGGTTTTCTTTCTTCGCTTGAGATTTCGAAATCGTACGGAGTCCATGTCTCCTTTTCTCAGCATAGCGATCGCTTGTCGGAGGCACATTATCAACGCAAATTCTCCTTCAGCATTTCAACATCTGCTTTGTGCCCAAATCCAATGGCTTTCTGTGAGGTACGCAAATTCAGCCGCCTCGAATGGCCATTCTTTCACAGTCTCATATCTGATTGACACATGCGGCTTCTCACCTAAAGAAGCTGAAGCAGTTTCTAAGCGTGTCAGCTTGGAAACGCGGGATAAGCCAGATTTAGTTATCAATTTCCTGAAAAGACAAGGATTTTCTCAACCCCAGATTCTTCGTTTCATTGGACATCACCCAAGGTTTCTTCGATATGATCCTGAGAAAACCTTTTTGCCCAAGATTGAGTTTCTCAAATCCCAAGGTGCTTCAAGCTCATTCATCCCTAGGCTCTTGTGTAGTTGTCCTAGGATCATGGGGAGCAGCTTAAGTAATCGGCTCATTCCTTCCTTTTATTTCTTCCGGGATTTGTTTCAGTCTGATGAGAAGCTCATTAAAGCTCTTGCACATTGCTCGGGCATTCTTGTTTACATTAATACTCATGTCTTGCCTAATATGAAGCTGTTGCGAGAAGAAGGAATTCCTGAATCAAATGTCATTACATTGCTGCAATCTTTCCCTAGGACACTAACTATATATCCTGATCGGTTTAAGTACGCTGTGGAAGAAGTAAAGGAAATTGGTTTTGATCCTTTGAAGCTTCGATTTCTTTGGGCTATTAGGGTATGCTCATCCTTTAGCAAATCCACACGGGCAAAAAAGGCTGATGTTTATAAGAAGTGGGGTTGGTCTGACAATGACATTCTGGTGGCATTTAGAAAGCACCCCTTTTGTATGACAGTCTCAGAGGATAAGATTGATGCAGTAATGGCGTTTCTTGTCCACAAGTTGGGCCTTGAGTCTTCCGCCATCAACAGATGTCCTTTAATTTTTACATTGAGTTTGCAAAGGCGAATTCTCCCAAGAGGTGCTGTCATTCAAGTTCTGTTGTCAAAGGGTCTGATAAAAAGGAAAACTTCTTTATCAATTTTCAAGTATACTGAGAGATATTTTTTGAGGAAGTTTCTCCTTTGTCACGGGCAGAAGGTTAGTGGATTATTAGAGTTGTATCAGTCTAAACTGGATCTTGCAAGGTGAATGAAAATTGAAAGGTTTTAACTTATGGATATAGACTAATGCGTAGCAGTTGTAGAACTGTTCTCTCTACATTTCTTTTGATGCGGCGCATTATTAACTTGTATGTGGTTTGCTTTAATTCAGGTTGAAAATGACTTGCCAAGTAACTAATGAGCTTCCCATTACACTGGAATCTGTTCATTTGAATTAAGTCCTAAGTTTTAAAGTGTCTGTAATACCATGCAGCGTTAACATTGTTTGTTTAACTTTTTCTTTCTTTAGAGAAGGCATTTTTTAGTAAGAATCATGTATAGAAGACGATGTTTTAGCTTTTGTTTGATTATTGAACGCTTCACCACCAGGCTTGAAACAGATCAGCGGTTTTGATCTTAGGTTCATAGTATTGTTGATTGTTTCTTTAACTCCTTGTAAGTACAATATGCTTAAATCCATATGCTGTGTTTCAAATTCATTTATTTTTTCCTTCCGAGGCAGAGTAAACTATCTTATGACATCTATGTATTTTTCAATGTGAATAACTCCTTACACAGGTATGTAATATTAATTAATATATAGATGATTTTTCTATAGCCTTTTTGTTCTTATTAAAAATTTGAATTTCTTCTATACCAACTTCCCAATTTTTCCCAGCAATGCTTCCATTAAAGTGATTGTGTCTAAACTTAAAAATTTAAATTTCAGAACTTCGTAGACTTTTTGTTTTCTATTTGAAGCTAATTTGCTTCATTTATTTGACTGGCTTCTCCAAACACGTCATGCTTTGCTGCATCCAAGTTTGTAATCGTGCAAGTTTCTTGGGAAATCTAAAAACCATGATGGGGTTCACAACATTTCGATGGTTCACCTATAATATTTTCCGTCTAGCTTCTTAAAGCAACTAGTAGGCCTGGATATGCGTTGGAACATAGGCCTGGGTATGTGTTGGAACAGAGGCCATTCTGAATGTGATTATTTATACTTAATGTTCAAGTTCTGGAGTCCCTGCCCAGGGATAATATTGAGGATCATCCTTATGCTGATCTTATAGAGGAAGCTTGGGATCGTTGCTGTCCAAAGTGTACTGTTTCTTGTGAGTGCACGTCTAAAGAAAATCTTTCAGAGGCTGGTAGATTAGCTTAGATTTATTAAGAGAGATTAAAATGTCATTAGTTAATTAAGATAGACTCTTATAAAGGGACTAATCTACTTTGATTAATGGCATTTCATTATCTCCTTTGAAGCGTTTGTGCTGAGCTATTGGCGGTGAGATATTGTTAATAATCCACCTTAGATGAGCTTTCTGATTTTTGAGTTCTTTGCATGTTGTCTGTTTAATTAATGGAAGTTTCTATTTCCATTCAAAAAGCTATTAGTAGTAGTACCTGGTGTTGAGCTGCAGGACCTAATTATTCCTTTCCATCTTAAATATAAGATCTAGTTTGTAGTGATAAGAGGTACTCTTCCGGTCCTTATTATAAGACCCAATTTGACTTTTTATTTGGTCCTAATTATAAGACCCCAATCCATTTTGTCTCTTATATTTATGCATTTTTTTCCAAGATAATCCTTCTAATAATAATAGTTTTAGCCAATATACTTAATTAGCAAGGATATTTTAGGAATGATAACACTTATTTATTATAAATAACCAACTTAACTTACTTCCTTAATCTTCTCAAATAAGTCAATTGGGTCTTATAATTAGGACCGGAGGAGTAGTATTTTACTTTTGGGATCAACCTTGTCTACTTATGGCTGGAGGATTAACATCATATTCATATGTCATATTGTTTTTATGTGCAAATGTAATTTCACTGCTATGGCTCTCTCATTTTACTCCAAGCTGTAATTTTTTTCCCCCCGAATAAAAATGGTATCACAAACTAAACCGACAGAAATTACAACCCGAGTCAATTGGCTTTTTTCATCAAACTCCTGAATAAAAAGTGGTAGATGATCAAAGAGACGTCAACTGTGCTCCACCAAGCAACATGCAAACAAAAAACTTCTTCAATTAATCTCTTTATTCACACATGTAAAAAAAAAAAGAAGAAGTAAAACCCACTATTTTTTTTTAATGCGTATTCAATTTTAACAATAGACATTTGTACATTTGGTCAATGCAACCTTTTTTTTTTTTTATAAAGGAGCAATGAAACCTTTTTAAATAAAGTAAAAATACCAAAGTAATACCTCCGATTCTTAATATGAGATCTTGTTTGATTTTTATTTTGGTCCTAAATATAAAATCCCAATCTATTTTGTCTCTCATATTTATATATATTTAAAGTAATCCTTCTAATAATAGTAGTTCTAGCCAATACACTTGATTAGTCAGGATATTTTAGGAAAGATAACACCTATTTAAGATAAATAAATAACTCAATTTACTTATTTAATTTTTTTAAATTAGTTAACTAGCTCTTATAATTATAATTAGGATGAAAGTAGTAAAATGTAAAATTTATATTTTAAAAATGAAAAGGTAATCTTTTTTTTTTTTGCCTGAAAAAAAGGTAATGGTTTGGCTATGTAATTTTGATTTAATTACAACTCAATCGATCCTAGAATTTTAACCCCAAGCAACTTAACTTTTATAGTTTTGACTCAATTAAAATTCATACCAACTTTGACTGAATTAACTTAATCCTTACAGTGTTAATTATTTCACATTTTAAAAAAAATATTAAGGATTAGCGTTATTTTCTAAAAAACTTAAGAACTAATGTTTTATAGGTTTAAATTATAGGTAAGTTACACAGAGTTAAAGTTAATTGAGTTTCAATTAAGTCAAAAATCATAGGATGTGAGTTAAAATTTAGATATTAAGCTATAATTAAACAAAACTGCTGGGACAAAAAAAAATTTTTTCTTGTTTACGCCAATAGAAGTTTGGAGTGATCAGAGAATGAGAGTAGCGTGGTTTCCTATGGCTTCCGGTGTATTCCTCAACGGACTCCGGCTGCGTTTATCTTGCTCGGGATGCCGGAAGCCGCCGGAATCCATGCTTCCTTTTCTCCGCGGAGCCATACCTTATGGGAGACATATTATCAACGCAATATCTCCTTCAACATTACAGCATCAACTTTGTCTTCAAACCCAGTGGTTTTCTATGAGGTACGCTAACTCAAACGCCTCAAACGGGAATTCTTTCACTGTCTCTTATCTCATTGACACCTGTGGCTTCTCACCCCAAGAAGCTGAAGCAGCTTCTAAGCGCGTCAGCTTCGAAACGAGAGAGAAGCCAGATTTGGTTATCAAGTTCCTGAAGAGTCATGGATTCTCACGGCTCCAGATTCTTCATTTCATTAAATCGGTTCCAGAATTCCTTCGATTTGATCCTGAGAAGACCTTTATGCCCAAGATTGAATTTTTCAAATCCAGAGGCGTTTCGAGCTCGCACATCCCTAGGCTTGTGTGTAATTGTCCTAATATCATGAGAAGAAGCTTAAGTAACCACCTCATTCCTTCCTTCGATTTCCTTCGAGATTTGCTTGGATCTGATGAGAAGCTCGTTAAAGCTCTTCAATATTGCTCGGCCATTCTTGTTGATTCTAAAGCCTCTGTGTTGCATAAAATAGAGCTACTGCGAGAAGCAAGAGTTCCTCAATCAAATATCATCAAATTTTTGCAGTTTTACAGTAGATCATTGGCTTATAGTACTGGTCGATTTAAGAAGATTGTGGAGGAAGTGAAAGAACTTGGTTTTGATCCTTGGACGTTTCAATTTCTTATGGCTGTTCATGTATCCTTATCCTCAAAAGAATCCGCACGGGCTAAAAAGGTTTATGTTTATAAGAAGTGGGGTTGGTCTGACAATGACATTCTTGCAGCATTTAGAAGGCTCCCCATCTGTATGACTCTGTCAGAAGATCAGATTGATGCAAAATTAGAGTTTCTTGTCCATAAATTGGGCTGTAATCCTTCCATGATTTGCACATATCCTAATGTTTTGGGATATAGTTTGAAAAAACGAATTGTTCCAAGAGGTGCTGTCCTTCAAGTTCTGTTGTCAAAGGGGCTGTTGAAAAGCGAAACTTTGCTCGCAAAATTTGCGCTTACTGAAAAGGACTTTTTAAGGAGGGTTGTCCTTTGTCATGTGCAAGAAGAAGCTAGTGAGTTAATGGAGTTGTATCTCACAAAACTGGATCAAGCAAGGTGAATGAAGAATGGAAAGGTTTTAAGGTATGGTTATGGACTAGTATGTCTTAATTGTAGTAGTTTTCTCACTACAGTTCTTTTGGTGCGTTAGCACTTTGTTTGCTTTAATTCAGCTTGGACATATCTCCACGTCAAGTCAATGAAGAGCTTCCTGTACACTGAAATCTCTACACCATTCGAACATGATCTTATGTTTTAAAGATTATCTATAGTAAGATCCCATTTAAACATTGTTTTAGTTTCTTAAAGTAAGTCGCTAAAATGTGCTAAGAATGAGGGGTGGCCATTAGCTGGGGGCGAAAAACAAAAAACTGCCCATCTTAATCTCACTGGCCTCTGGTTGTTGTGGACTGTATGCATGTGAAGTAAGAAAAGTGTTGGAGATCATGAACCATCATCTCATAGGTTCTGACATCATCTATCTTTTCCTTTATTTGTTTTTTTTTTTTGCCAACATCTTTTCCTTTATTTGTTGTTTGTTATATTTAGGCTCAATTTAATGTTTGAGTAAGCTTTTTTCCTTTTTTAAATTAGAGGGGTTAGCATTAACAGCCTGGGATTGAACTCATAACCTCTCATTTACAAAATAGCCTTCATGCCTCTAGGCTAGAAGGCCATTAGCAATGTTTGAGTAAGCTAATATAATGGGATTGGTTGGGACAGTAGTTCCTTGCTATTGTAAAATTTAGCTACAAGAGTTCCCTTCCCTTCCCTCTATATTTCCTCAACGTTACAGATACTGGCATTAAGCCTCACGAAACCTTTAGCCAGCATTCTGTTAATCTTGTTAACCTGCATAAATTAGCTGCGGGTTTAAACTTATTGTCGATGACTTGGTTTGTTAACAGCAGGTTTGATCTGTATTTTAGATTCTGCTCAGTTAGCGATTAAATTGATAGCGCATACACTAGGAAGAAATAGGAAGCCAGTGGGAGAAAAAAAGTTAAGTAAACTTTCGGTTTGGATTCTCTCTGAGTGAAATGATCCTGTGCACTTAGAGAAGTCAAGATCTAAAGAAAAGTTTCCCGTTGATTTTTTTTTTGCTTTTTCTTTTGCCCTCCTTCCTTTTCACCTCTCTTCTTCATAGAAACAGAGTCTACATTTTCATAGGCTGTGATGTCAAGTTCATAGGATTCACCATCTGTTATGTTGCTGAGCTTGGGGACACGTAATAGCTACCCATACTAGGTTGCTCTTGTTAACTAGAATCACTGAAGCTAATTTCTTGCTGCTTTCTAGTGCAATTAAATGCAACCAAGTTGATTCAGTACACTTGCAAATTTTGCGTATTGATGATGCCAAGATGGTCCTCCATGATGAAGACTAGAGTTAAAAAAAAAACAATGTTGCCACCTCCTGATTTCATAATTATTTGCTGCTGCTGTTGTTTTCTTTTCTCACACCTGTTAACTTCTGTAAGAAACAAGTCATTACGGTGACGACTATTTTTGGAATTTTTGTTACTATATTAGAGTTCAGAGAATTTATTTATTTTTGAACTCAATGTACAAGGATTAACATTCTCGATCAATCGTGAATATTCACTTTTTGATTTGTTCATATGTTCATTATCAACTTGGTTTTCGTAGACCATGTCCCTCTATCTATGCATTTCTTATTAAATACCTTTGGCAATTAATATGATGATGACAGATTTAACACCGATAAAAAGTCACGTTGACTCCCCTCCCCCCTTTTTTTTTTCCGGAACTGCAGCCCGACACTCAAATTTGGTTTAATTAATACTACTTCCGGTTCTTAATATAAGATATTATTTGATTTTTATTTTGATCCTAAATATAAGATCTCAATTCATTTTGTCTCTTATATTTATTTATTTTTTCTCAAAATAGTCTTTCTAATCATGATAGTTCTAGCCAATAAATTTGATTAGTAAAGATATTTTAGGAAAAAACAATACCTATTTGTTACAAATAACTAACTTAACTTGTTTTTTTAATCTACTCAAATTAGTCAACTTACTCTTATATTTAAAACTGAAAGTAACAATACTTAATAGTTCGTGGTCGAGTCCTTTTTTCTTTTCAAGTAACGACATTGAGATTTTGCAGTAGGGATGCAAGACAAATGGTTGATTAGATCGAGGGCTCATATCATTGCACATCCTTATAATTTGATGGCATTTTGATTTTAGTATATGTGGTTTCAAATCGTATTTCTTATTCTTTAATTTGTCCATCTAAAGTGTTCGTTCTCTATGGTTTTCATACGGACCTTGTGAAACTATGAAGAGGGGCAAACATTAACTCTATGTTTGGATGTTAAGAAAATTAGGTAGAAAACAACACTACAAGTGAAAACTCCTCAAAATAGCAAACTTTTTAAATTATTTTTGGAATTTTTTTGGGAAAAATCTCAAAGAAGATTTATTAAATTTTAAAATTTTAAATCAGTCTTGTTTAGCACGCTTTACTAGCAATTGAGAATATACTTTTGTAGTAATTTCTAATTTGAAATTTTTTTAACGATTTTTCTTCTTTTTTTTCTCAGTATTTCCTCTCTTATTTCCTCTCACTTTTGCTTTCATCCTAACGTAATATGAAGGATGAGAAACACAATTTGAAATTAAGGATCAAAATCAATATATAATCAAAGCATAAAGACGCGTGGTATTTACCTGTCATCATTAAGACATCTTATGAAAAAAGACCCACCCCACCTACACGCTCATTATAATTATAAATACCTTCAAATTCAATTTAGCATGGGCACTTAATCTTTAGCAAGGGGGGGCCACATAATAATCTCAAATGGGCAAACATGTGGTTTAGTTTAGATGAGCAATTGTAAATATCAAGAAATTGCGATCTTGAACAAATAGATTTTGTTACTAAACAAAGCTTCCTAACAGAGCAAATAGAAAAGTCCAAGGAAGGAGAGTAGAGGACCTACAGACAATGGATGTTTAGGGCCACACTGACAAGATTTGCCTCCCCTAACAAATGGTCCAACCGTGATTTTTGCCCAGAAAGAAAAAAGTTTACATAAAGATAGCAAAATACTAATTATAATTTGTTGTGGCCATTTTTAAGGCTATATTTGAAATTACGTTTTGAAATCATTTATAAGTACATTTCACATAAACTGAGATAAAACTTCTCTCACATACTTATCTCATATTTCATAAGTCACGGTTAAAAACCTGCTTATAAGTCATTCTAAAAGAGTTCTAAGTCTTCAATCTTACTTTTTAGACCTTGTTTAAACTGCATAATTATCGCTTTTGTTGAAGCGCTTAATTCCAATACAATTTGACGCAAGGCCACTTTCTGTGATGTGTTTAACATCCAATTATTGTTTGACGCGATCTTTTTTTTTTGGTTAAATTACACAAGCTTTCCTAAACTTTGAACTATGTATAAATAATCAACTCACCTAAACTTTCAACTTTACATGAATAAACCCTAATCAATTGTGTAACCCTTCAAATTGTGTTTTTGTGTTCATATAACCGCTTTGAGATTTGATTTTATATATGTGTCTATATATATATATATATATATATATATATATATATATATAGAAGCCCCTTAAACTAAATATATAAGTACTGAACAAAATTACCGGTAAGAAAGTCATGTGCATAAATGTAAGAATTTAGAGAGATTCATTGTAAAGTTTCAAAATTTAAGGAGATTATCTGCACATAACATAAAATAGGAGTTATGTATAATTTCACCCTCGCCAAAAAAAAAAAAATTCAAGTGAACTTTTTTTTTTTTTTTCCAAGTGATATTTTGAAGTGAACTTGTTCCAACACATACCGCTGTTATTGACCCAAGATTAATTGTAGTAATGCATATTGCATTACAAGGGGGCAGGAAGTTGAGTGTCTCAAGTATAGAGAAACAGAGAGAATACCTGTGAAAACAGAGGAATAAGATTAAGATGCCAAATTTATGGGCACTAATTCGCAGCTCTTGATGCTTTTACCAGCATGCGATTATGGCCAAAAGTAATTGATTTTATAGGATCTTTTCTTCAAAATTTTGCAAATGAAACGATATCTCAATTACAATTATACCACAAGAGATTGAAGAGAAGAGATATGCTTAAGGAGATAGGACTTTCCACATTAGCAGAGGAGCATGGTTCCTAGTTCCACTTATCCAGCTGGGATTTACTGCCATCATTGAAATTGAAAATATATATCATCCCCTCATTTCATGAACAAGATTATAAGCTTGAGCCAAGTAGAGGGGGAAATTCCCAGAAATGAAGTAATATCATAAAAATGAAAGTAATCAAATAATAAAAATCACTCATCATCATGGACAATGAGTCATTGCCTAAGTGGAAAAGGAACTTCAACAATTAAAAACATTTATGCACTCACTTAAGAAATCCCTTACATAAACTTCAACTCGTCACTGATTATCATGAAAACAAGCCTGCTTGTACTTCACATAACAACCTCTGAACTGAAGGGCCAAAACAAAACCCAGAGATCTCAATGACAACTGTGTATTTTCCTTTACCTTATACTGCCACTTGAACTGATCATGCATATGACACTATCAAGGGTTCTCTGGACTCTTCTCTAGATGCATCCTTGTAATAGAAGTACAACGCTAATTGTACTATTCCCAATATGGTTCCTATTCCATTGGGTACCTACAAAAATGAACCACAGATATTTTAGTTCATTTCAAGCTAGACTGTATATCTAGGAAGAAAATTAAATGCAGTAGAGTTGGAAGAAAGCTTACATAAACAAACACATCAAAATTGAGCAACCCGTAAAGAAAGAAGGAAGCACTCATTAAGAAGGTCGATAGGGAAAGAAAGAATGGCATAAACTCAACACTCTTTGTCCGGATCACCAGTTTCTGGGAAAGACATGGAGATTGATAAATCAATAAAATTAACCAAAGCAAACTGATGCAGGATGTTCACAATTCAAATGATAGATTTCCAGGACGAAACAAACTTACAATTATAAACAGAGGAGAGGCAAACATTGAAATAAGAGAAGCAACACTCAAGGATCCCACAAACACCTGACGTGTTACACGGTCAGCTATTTGCAAGCTTCCAAATACTATGATTGCAAATAACCCCAAAACAGCCAGCAGTAATCCAACCGTTCTCACCTATCAAATTGAAGCAAAGAGTATACAAAAGCTTAGAGATGACACAGAGGCTATCAGGCACTTATCACAATTAACAAGTTCATCAGTCATGAGAAAATGCTTCCAAATATATATATATATATATATATTTATATCAGAACTCTAACCTTCCTGTTTTTCTCTTCATACGTCACAAAGAGGATTATGTACACAAACTGAAAGACTGCTCCACCTGAGTTAACAGTCAGGACCATTAGATTATCAGGAGATATGAAAGGCGTGCCATACCACATGCAGATCAAGCAATTCAGGAGAGCATAAATATAGGGCGAGCCTGAGAACATTTCTGTTGACCCATTTCTGACAATTCTTCTGAAAGTGGGTCTGAAATTTAGCACAAGTGAGGCGTCAATGAAGGGGAAAAGAATAATTTCGTCGGAGCTCAACATAGTTTATCAAACAGTTCATAAGCAAACTTACATGGGCGACACAAATAACCCAAAGGCAAAGATGTTCCCTGAAAATAAGCATTGCAATAATTGAAATCAAGGAAGAAAACTCTAGAAAACTTCGAAGATTGGTTTTAAAAATTTAACTGGCTGACCAGCAAAATCCCAGAATCTGTTAGAGAAAAAGAAAGTACCGGCAATTCCAGCTGCATCCTTGCAAACTGTAAGGATTGAAGAAGAAGCAGAAACAGACATTAATCTAACAATCACCAAATTCCACCAGAAATCAAACCCAACCCTCCATGTATAACATCAAAATAAGATGACAGGTGACGCCGCCACCTGCAATAATACGATTCGTTTCACAAAGATCTTCCCTCTTATATCTTTCAAGTCACGAACTAACGAAAATATCCACGTTTTCCAAATGTTTAAATGCTAAATCGGTGCCCCTGCGAGATTTCCGAGCTAGAGGGCCTGATAATTATTAGCTTCCCCCATAACTTGCTGTGCTAGGAAAATGACAAAGACCCAATTGAAAAAACAACAAAAATGGCACGGCTTGCTATTGGCTTGCTTGCGTTCGAGCCACGAAAATTCAAACGATTTTGGGTTATTTTATTTATGTGAAGAAGTTTGATTGCACTGACAAGTTGCGAAAAGAGGCGTGCGAATGTGTGACAAACAAAGGGTGGCGCCTACTTGGATGATTTTCCAGCTGAGTTGTAGGGACTGCGACGACTCTGGAATTTAGATTAGATACAGGCCAGCTCCGACAAGGATAGAGATGATGCTGATCCTTAGTGTTTAACTATTAATTGTTATCGTCTTATGTGCCATACGAATATTCTAATTCAGCAATTCTAGCTGCCTTTTGCTTCGTTTGTAAAAATTTTGACTCGATGAGGATCTGTATTTCACTGGTATTTCTAAAGCAGATGTTTTGTTTTTGTTTATAAGAGATATTAATAACTTATTTAATTTTTGAATATTATTATTTAATTTGATGTTTAATATTGTATTTGTATTTTTATACCCTTTAATTATGGATCATTTTCAATGTTTTATTTTTTTCTTTTAGAATTCAAAGTATTCTCAAATCATTTTAGATTTGAAACTAATTTCTATATAACTAAGAGCATTAAGATTAAAGCTCTCTCAATAAATACATTTATCATCTCAACCAACAACAAATTGATAGTTTTAATTATTGGTTTGCTTGTTCTCTTTCATTCACTCCCTCTTTTCATAGATAAAGATATTTTTAAGGATAAGTCACATTTTTTTTATTTATTGTTTTTGATGAGTTTCAACTAATTTTTTATCCATATAATTTAATTATTTGTATTCTATAAAAACGATTGAATGGGGTGACAGATAAATAAATGATAGCTAATAGAATTTTTTTTATTAGAAGATATGTTATTTTAAATAAAATTTTGGATAAAAAAAATTAAAAGTCAAATTCATATAGTTAGAAAGTAAGAATAAGAGATAAATAATAGCAGTAACAGTAGTAGAATTAGTAGAATTAAAAAGACGAGAGGTTCAAAATAAGTTATAAGACGTGTCAATAATGAGTTATAGAAAAACAAATAGCATTGTTGGCCAAAAAAACACAAAAGAGAGGAGCAAATAGCATTATCTGTACTAGTACTAGTAAGATGTAAAGTAGGTATTCTTTCGGTCTTAAATATAATGTCTTTTTTATAGTGTAATTTATATTACAAAAAGAATCTCATATTTAGGAACGAAGAAGTATTATATATTTGCACCATATAGACACACCCATAAAGTTATCTTATTTACCATCATTAAATCATGGAATTTCTTGCCATGTAAATATGCTGATAGAAATTTGTAGTATCGATAGGGACATCCGACCTGATAAAGACCAAACATATATTTGTAAGACACTAGAAATTGTCCTGACATTGCAATGTAAGAAACGTGGACATTGGACAATTTAGAATAAATTATTAAATTACTAGCGTGAATAAAACCACTTAATTACGTGTTGCCAAATAATATGGATAAACTTCAACAAGTTGTATTTGGGAAAAAAAGTATACAAGAGACAAAAAAGAAATGCCCTGTATCCTAACCTAACCTTTTCTACCCTTTAAAAAAAAAAATTAGAAAACATACACATGAAAGTGACTGCTGCCTAGCTATTGTAAACGTGAAACATTTTAGCATTTAGGTGTCTCCCATGCGAGCCTTTTTTTTTTTTTCCCCTCCCAAGGTCAAAAAAATGTTAGCCCTTTTTCTTAACATATAGTTTAAAATTCAATACAATATGTTATATTATCAAGTCTAAATAAAAAATAATTAATTACATTATATGGTGCTAGTTAAAACATACAAAGTTTGTTTGCATTAGAGCAGGAAAACTGGTTTTTCAGTTACGATGTAATGATTATTAAATATCATAAATAACAATGTTCTATCATATAGTTTATTTTATGAATAATTAATAAAACTCCAAAAAATAATTTAATTCATTATCATTCAGAAATCACGGCAAAGGTAGGGGAATGATATTATTTGGAAAAATCAAATTGTAGGATGGAAGAAGAATAATGCACTCACGACCTGATTGATATTTAAAACATAAATAAATAATTTTATAAACATCACAGATCCCACTTGGTTAGATTTGGTCCATGCACACTAAATGCACTTCATTAAGACAAATACACTAATGACAAATGGTTTCAAAGAGCAACTCGATCAAATAAATTTATATTTGATGTAAAGTGGTACAAAATTTGACATTTTAAAGCAAACTCAATCTCACAAACTTACGTTTGACCAACACAATGAGTGTATTCTGCAGAACCACCACGACCACTGGACAAAGATCATTCTTGTTCCGACCATAACAATCATTTGAAGTCAGTCATTAATGGTATGTCTAGAATGACGAAAATGAATTAAAATGAAGTTTCAATCTTAACACTAATATTTTCAAGAATCTAAACTGAAAAAAAATTATTTTTACCATTTTTCATCTATTATCATCAATTGAAGTAGGTATCAAAATCAAGCCAGATGATTCAATCATCTGTATCAGAATCGGACTCAGAATCATCCTCCATTTGCAACTCGAAAGGTCTCAACCTGTTTGTATTGGCTTCTAATGGGGGTAGTCCATCATCATCATCACTAGAGTCCCTCTCAATCTCTGGTTGGGAGGTGTTTCCATGCAAATTTTCATTTGAATCATCTGTAGCCCCGGATTTAAAAATTGCAGGCCTAAAGGAAACGACGATTGTAAGAGTTAGTACATGATGAATCGGAGGAAAATAGTTTTGACGACAAAAGTTAAACCAGGACTTTTCAACAATGGAAACTAGGGCGGCTACAGCAGGTGCATGAAGGTAAAACTGAGAATCTTATTATTTACAAACAAAAAAGAAATAGTGACATATTTATGCACTATCATTATTGCTAGATAGAGAGATCAGAAGTACCAACAAAAGCATACCATTGTGGAGACTTCTGAAGGGCCCGAACTTGTTCATGGTATAGAACTTGGGTAACAATACATGCAACTTTGCTACCCGATTCAAGAGCTTTTTCCTTTCCACTTTCATCAACGACAACATAATTCCCTGCATATTGAGAAAGAACGTTCAGTAAGTCGAAGTATCAACGATGTATTCATCAAAAAATTAGAACTAAATTGTTGGCAGTGAACTTTCAGGAACTAAATTGATGACATGGGTACCTTTCAAGGACCACTACAGTAATTTCTTCAATAACAATCAAGTGAAAGAGGCAGAACATGAGATAAAGAATAGCTATTGGTCAGAGGAGGACAAACTCATTAGAGAAATACGCAGCCTGCAATTGCTCTCAAGGTCCGCTTGAGCTTTAGAAGGGATTAAAATCAAGATGCTTAGAAAATAATATCAATGACGCAAAATAACTGGATCACCAAAAGTTCAGGACAAAGACATAACGCAACTAGCAAAGCATGTTCCTATAGGCAAGAAGCCTTTTCCTTGAACCAGAAATTATTGAATTGCTTCATACACAGAACAAACCTCGTTTTATCCACATGCTCTTCTGGAATTTAGCTGGAAAAAGTGCTAGTAATTTCTCACCGCGTGCATCCATTACCTAATGAAACATACAGATTAATATGGAATCAGAATGTATATGGACAGAGATGATATCTTATAATTCATCTTTATTCTAACTTTATAAATAATCATCACAAGGTGCAGGATCATTCTTATTTGCTTGGTATTTCAATTTCCAGTTTTCACATAATTGAGACCGATTTGTCAATTTATACACAGATAATGTATTCTCCCATTTGAATCTTCACATGTGATTTTCGCATTGAACAGTAACATATTCTCAAGTTTCAACCAGCGCTAGACTTCAATAGAAACAACCTCCACTGTTTTTCTCAATTACTCCAGCTAAGAACCAATGTTTTATCAATGAGAAAACATATTTTTGTCAGCCAAAAGAAGCATGCCTTCACTATTCGATCCATGAATCTAAAAAAGTACTCGTCTTATTCCTTGAAAACTTTTCACTCGCAAGAGCAAGGCAAATATACATACTGCAGAAATTATTAACTGGCAAATAAGAACCTTGAACCAGCTACTCATGGAGTATATCTTTAGGGTCCAAAAAGTATATATGAACATACAAGCCAGAAGCCAAAGTTCTTATCATTTTTGTGCAGGCAAGTCAAAAGACCTAAACTCTCAAGTTTCAACAAAGAGGTTTGAGTATAACGACAATTGGTGATAACAACTAGAAAAATAAAATGAAGACTGCAGCATCAATTTCCTCTAGTAATGACGCCCAGGAAGATTACACAAACACCTCCTCCTCTCTCTTTCCCTCACTCTCATGGTTATTGAAAGAGGAAGAAACTAGAATAATCAATAAACGATAATCAAACATGCAATGTCGCTAGAAGCAATCAAAGATATAAAAATAAGAGCAGAAAAGGAAGCCTTGGAAGACATGAAAATGATGAAGGGGCTGAAGTTGATACCTCAATGAGATTAGAACCACGAAGAGAGACGACCTTCGTGATACTTTGGCCGTCTTGAAGGGCCACGTCCAGTTCCTGTTTTGCCCGCAGCAAGTTCTTTCTTCCTCCTCCCATGGCAGTACCCCGCAATCCAACCTAAAACCCTACTTCTCTATCGTCAAATTTTTCTTCCAGCAGTGATACAGAGATCGTTTCTTCAACTAAGTATATTGTCAAGTCAGAGGAAACGCAGAGAGAGTACAGAATGTCTAGCAGAGAAAATGAGAAGGAACGAGCGGGGCACGAGACGGCGGCGAGAGGAGGCCGAGGAAAAGAGGCTGTAAGCACGAACAAGGGAGTTTCTGGTTAATTTTTTTCTCTCCTCTCTCTAAATTGGGGGTATTTATGGAATATCAATAACAAGTGAGAGCAAATTAGTCCTAAAATTTAATTCCCTCCAAGAACCCCAGGCACGATCGAAAAACGAGCAAAATAAGGGAAGGGCCTCCTACTTCCTCAGCCAAATGCCTTTACCAGAATCCCCTTTTTTTTTTGGGCCAAACTTAAATATGTAAAATTAAATATCTAAGTCTTCCCCATATCAATAATAGCATGTTATCTGCCAAAAAATAATTATATTTCTAAAGACTGATTCTTTAATTTTAAAAACAAAAACTACAAGAGCAAAAATAAAAAGATATTCTCTAAATATATAATATATAAATTTACAAAATTAGTTGACAGGTAGGGATGTTTATATCATATAACTCCAATTTTTAAATTTAAATTTTATAAAAACATTTATACAAATTTTAAAAACATAAGAATATCCCTATAATTCAGATAAAATAAAATGGAAATCAACGTATTTTACTAATAGTTTATTGGCAAATCTATTCACTTCTTTTTTTCTTTTGGAAATGTTTGCAGGGGAACTCATAATCTTAGCACACAAGAATGCCTCCTGTGCCCCTTGAGCCGGTGCTCAATGGTCATTAGTCATCAGCGCCAATGTAACCTTGCCGCTGGGTTAGCGTACCCCACTAATTTTTTCTCCCTTAACCTTAAACTCCTCTCTTTTTTTTAATATTTTTTCGACCTTAAATATAAGATTTATTTTGTAATATAAATTATATTATAAAATAAAAATTATATTACAAATAGGTCTATGTTTAGGATTAGAGGAATATAAAAATGCTTAATTAATTTAAATTTTGAATAAATAAAGATATCACATAAATTAGTTAATTATAATAAATGTGATATGATTTTATTAAAATATTTTTATATAATATTAGATTATGTATCAGTTTATAAGTTAAATAAATTAACATGAAGAATGATAAATATGAGAAATAAAGTAAATAAAATTTTATATTTAGAATTAAATTCAGATTCTAACTACTCTTATGTTAAAGATTGAATGTAGTATGCATTGGATAAGATATTCTTCCCCACTATGTTTTATAATTTACTCTTCCGGTCCTTAATATAAGACACAATTGTTAAGTTGGTTTTGGTCCTAAATATAAGATTCATTTCTCATATTTATCAATAATCTCTAAATTACCCCTATGGATACTCCTTCAACCATAATCAAGTAGAAGAGGGAGAGGAGGTATTGAGAAAGATGATTATGGTGTTTTAGGAAAAACGTGTCATATTTATTACAATTAACTAACTTACCTAACTTCTTTAATCTAATTAAATTAGTTAAATGGGTCTTATATTAAAGACCGGAGGAGTATATATATAAGAAATTGTCCCCCACTATATTTTATAATGTACACACACACATACATGCATAAAGATATACTCAGAAGCCCACTAGTTTTGAAGACTCCTCCACCGTGTGCAGGTTTGTTGCTTTTTCTTGTTCTCTATATCTTATGAGGCCCAAAACACTTCTTTTATGAGTTTCATATTGGGTCGCAGGTTCATTCCTTCTGTATTTTAGGTGTTTTTTGTATGAACTTTAAGCCCAGGTAGCCTAGCCTTTAATATATTTGGGCGTTTTTATGCTATCGTTGTCTCAAATTAAAATAATTTTTTTTGGTAGATCGATGTCCGCAACATTTACGGACAATTATGGAACAAGATTTACTGGGATTTAATCCCCTTCTATTTTAATTTTTAGTTGGGCTTTGCCCTCGTTGTTACCAAAAACAAAAATAATTATTTGGACTTTCGGGTATGACCCTAGACTCACGCAGTTTATTAAGGTGAGATTTAAGAATGTTTAAATGTAAAATAATAACTCATGGGCCGGGCTCACGATAACCAGCCCATTTTGACGCCCCAAGTTATAGCAACAGAATAATAATTACTCCCTACCGTCACTTTGTCCCACGGTTTTTTTTTGTTGAAGTTTTTTTTAATGAGGCATGTTGATATATACTCTTCCGATCTTTAATATATGACTCAATTATTGAGTTGGTTTTTGTCCTAAATATAAGAACCATTTCTCATATTTATCAATTTTCTTTAAATTACCCCTGTGGATATTCCATCAACCATAATTAAGTAGAAAAGGAAAATGGGTATTAAAAAAAGATGATTATGGTATTTTAGGAAAAACATGTTACATTTCTTATAATTAACTAACTTATCTAAATTTCATAATCTAATCAAATTAATTAAATAGGTCTTATATTAAAGACCGGAGGAGTAATAGACATATAAAAAAGAGTAATTTGAATATAATAATATTTTTGTGGATGTTTATATATAAAATAAGAAGTACTCATATGTTTTATTTTTCCTTATTCTCTTCTTTTATTTTCCACTCTTTTTTTTAGTTTTATAACACAAATGAAATTTTAATTCATTGTTTTCATTTTTAATCATCTCATTCTTTTTTCTTGCAGGTACTCGCTTTTTCTCCCCACTCATTCTCTTTTCTTTTTGGAAGGGGCGGGGCCAAGCTACTCATTCTCTGCTTCTTTTTTTTTAATAAAAAGACAAGGCCCGTCAAATTTTAAAAATTGAATTTGAGCTAAGCCCAAATTAACCAAACAATTGGGCCGGCCCATAACAATAGAATAAGAAACAAGACTAAGCAAACTATAACATGAGAAGCTAAAAATCACCAAATGAAAGAAATAGGACCCCCATGAAGCGAAGCTCACTGAAAGAATGGCCCTTCCATTGTTGAACAAGAAGAGACCAATATTAACATCAGAAACATCCCAGCCATTTTCCACCATTATCTGATATCAAGGTCCGCGATGCTTTTCATGAACAGACCTTGAATAGCGAAGCTTGGAGTAAAAAGTTTATTTCCCTTTCCTCCTTGGCTAAAAGAGCTTCCAGTTAAAAAAACTGAAAGCTATTTGAATAGAATCTAAACCATAATTTTAAAAAAACTTTTCTATACTGCCAAACACTCCTTAAGTCTAGGTATTTTAGTGGAGGGAGCCATCTCATCGTTTAGTTTATGCCTCTGAACACATGGCTTGGAGGGTGTTTGAATACTCTTAGAAGTGCTTTTTAAAAGAAAATTTTCACAAATAAAAACAAACTCCTTTACATATTTACTTCATATAACATAAAATCACTTTTAAAATTATAGTTTGGTTTCCATCCAAATATCTCTTTGGTCTAAAACAGCATTATAAGTAGAAGTAGAAAACTCATTGGGATTTTTAGATTGCAAACTATCATGTATATCAAAGGCTTGCCTATGAGCATAGTTCACTTATCCTTGTCATACTACTCCAATACTTAATATAACGGTTTGTTTAATTTTTATTTTAATTTCAAATATAAGATTCTAATTTATTTTGTCTCTCATATTTATTTTTTTCAAAATATTTGGTAGTTTCAACTAATATACTCCTCCGGTCCTTAATATAGGACCTAATTATTGGGTTAGTTTTGGTCCTAAACATAAGACTCATTTCTTATATTTATCAATTTTTCTAAATTACCCTTATAGATACTCCCTCAACCATAATCAAGTAGAAGAGGGAAATGGGTATAAAGAAAGATGATTATGGTATTTTAAAAAAAATGTGTCACATTTCTTATAATTAACTAATTTACCTAACTTCCTTAATCTAACTAAATTAGTTAAATGGGTCTTATATTAAGGATCGGAAGAGTACCTCATTAGTAAAGATATTTTTAAAAAAAATACCTATTTATTATAAATAACTAATTTAACTAATTTTTTTAATATATTCAAATTAGTTAAGTAGGTTGTATATTAAACAGTGGAGGTAGAATATTGGAAAAAAGAATTGCATTTCTTATACATTTATACTGTGTTATGGGATAGGGACCATCCACGTCACGCGGGAAACAACTACCCAACAAAATTAAATGAACCTAAATGCGGCCCCAATACTTTTTAATAAAAGACATACCCTGTGATCCTGTCGCCTTTAATTAAATTCCCGCCGCGATAGCATATTTTTTTTGGTCCGGGGTCTTGAAAAGCAAAAGAGAGAATTAGGATGAATTTTTTAAAAATAAATATAATTATTTTAAAACAAAAATAATAACTGCTCCCTTATTAATAAAAATTGCCGATAATTATTTTTTTCTTATTATTTCATTACAATTGTCCTAACATAAAATGGAAGATTAATAAGAGCGCACCCCAAATCCTCGTCAGTTTGCTGGCACATATATGTGCACGTCAGTTAGTTTATTCGTCTTAAATACGATGGCTATCTTGTGAGTAAGAGAGGATCCGAATCACTTGAGTTATCCTTTCAAGATGTTCCATCATTTATTTTTCTTCATTTATTGTCTTGTTCATTCATTTATTATTATGGGTCCTTGTCCAATCCTATTTATTCCTCTGATCATATTTATAAATTATTTTTAACATGTTTTATACATATTAAAAAAAATTTAAATTTTATTAGTTTTTATTTAAAATTTAATAATTTTTTATTTTTATCTCTATTTAATATATATTATACCTCATGTTAACAAAATCAATATAATAATAAATAAAGGGTAAAATTATACATTTATATAAAAAATTTCTCTCTGCACTCTATATATAGAACTAAAAAATATCTTCTCTCTCAACCTTATAAATAGAATCAGAGGAGTACATTGTATTTTTAATTACATTTGTTATACACGATAAAAAATGGTAGCTAACCATTAATCTGTTTCAAATTAAAGATTCTTTTCAAATTTACTCATATTAAATAAAATTGTTAAGAAATTAAAAAATATAAAAAGTCACGTGTAAGCATTAATTGCAGAGACAAGATTGACAAATACTCCATCTAGTTTTTATTATTAACATCAAATAATTAATTCACAAAAATAAATAATTAGTTAAAATTAGTTAAAAATAATAAATA